AAACCCTGAACCCTAAACCCTGAACCCTAAACCCTAAACCCTAACCCTAAACCCTAAACCCTAAACCCTAGAGTCTCGTGCAGGCCCCGTGGCTCGTCTCTTGGGTCCACGTCCAAGTTGACCAGCTGATAGCGGTGCCGGGGAAACCTGGCTCGGCACCCACCCCCGCAGTGGGCTCCCAAGCCCTAAACCCTAAACCCTAAACCCTAAACCCGAAACCCTAAACCCTAAACCCTTACAAGCCCTGAACCCTTTTGGACTTAGGACTCCTGAGCCTTGGGGGCTCCTGTCGGGTAGTCTGGGGTGTTGCACCAGGCAGCTCCTGCACAGCCTCCCTGGCGTAGCTGTGCGTGTGATTGTCTGTGTAGATAACGTACCTCACAGGGGATCTGTGGGCTTCGGGTTTAGGGTCTAGAGTTTCGGGTTTAGGGTAACCCTAAACCCTAAACCCGGCGGGTTGGATTTCGGAATTCAGGGCAGGCTTGGGGGACCCAGCGGCTGTTGCTTTTCTATGCTCGGACAAGCGGGGTTGCAGCAACATCTTGGCAGCTCCCTACTGCGAGTGCTTGTGCCACCGGATCAAAGAAGATCTTTCAGACCCTAACATATAAAAGGTTATGAACAAACACTAATTATAAGCCCTAATCATACATGATACACCCTGTGAAGCTTAGCAACTCTACGGAACACTACAACCCTTGAACCCGAAACCCTGAACACTAAACCCTTGAACTCTTGTCCAGGGCACTGTGGCGCCCGGCCAAAGGCCGGTGCAGCAGCTACCGCTGGGGCCAAGTTCGTCTCCGCCCAGCAGAGGGCAGTGCGCCTGGGCTTGCAGGGGAATTTAATGCTGAGGGTTTAGGGGTTAAATTTTAGGGTTTAGGTTTAAGGTTTAGGGCTTAGGGCTTAGGGTTTAGGGTTTAGGGGTTTTTTCAGGTTCAGGGCTTAGGGAGACTGACGCCCGACGCCCTATGCTTCCCAAGTGCTTAAATCTTGGGTTCTTCCTGGGGAAGATAGATAGACAGATGTATGTATATACATATATATATATATATATATACATACATACATATATATATTATATATGTATGTATATACATATATATATATATGCATATATATATATATATTTACTTATATATATATATATATATACATCTATCTATATATATATATATATATATATAGGGGGAGGCTTAGGAGCCCGGAGTTTCGAGTCAGATTTGCCCTGTACCCCGACTTTCACGGGTGCAGGCTTATGAGCTGTTCTTAGAACACCGACGAGACAGCACAAACGCAACTTTTCGGGCTCCCCAAATTGCACAAACCTTGAAACTTGCCCTAAACCCCTAGAGTCGAATTGGAAAAGAAACCACAAACCTTGAAAACTTGCCCTAAAGCCCTAGAATCGAATTGGAAAAGAAACCGCACACTTTGCAAGCCCTGAACCAAGTGTTGAACGAGCACGATTCTTCGAGCATCGAGTAGCCCCACCAAAATAGGGGCACCCCGAACATATCCCCGGGAGTATCAGGCCCCAAACCGTACAGCCTAAACCCTAAACCCTAAACCCTAAACCCTAAACCCTAAACCCTAAACCCTAAACCCTAAACCCCCAAAAGGGTTCCGCTCCCTGAGCCCCCGCTAGACCCTGAACCATAAGCCACCTCAGGACTTCGAGGCTGAAGCTGGGGGGAAAACCCGATGGGTTTAGGGTTTAGGGTTTAGGGTTTGGGGTTTAGGGTTTAGGGTTTAGGGTTTTTCAGGGCTCTAAGAAACTTGTTTAAGTGCCCTAATATGGGTATAAGTACAGTTTGAATTGGTTAATAAGTACCATGAACCTCCAAGTATGGTCTCATGTCATCACTCTGGTTTTCGCCACCGAAAACCTAAACCCTAAACCCTAAACCCTAAACCCTGAACCCTAAACCCTAAACCCTAGACAGAACAGCCGAGTTTCAAGAAGGGCACTTGCGTGCTAAGCAAGCTCGCCGTGTCGTTGCTGGGCTGCAATAGGCTAAACCTCACCTTGCTTGGGCAGGTTTAGGATTTAGGGTTTAGGGTTTAGGGTTTAGGGTCCTTTAAAGGAAGCCCTCCCCTCCCCTCTCTCTTTCCGTGCTTCAGTCCTGTCGTTTCTAGCTTGTTCTCGCACCTCGTCTTTCTTCGCAATGAGACGGAAGAATAAGACCATAAAGAGAAGTCAGAAGCAGAGATTGGAAATCAACCCGGCCCTACACCTAAACCGCGGCGAACACACACAATGAGAAGAAACCACAGCAGGTCATTTTGAGGCCATAAACTCTATGTGCCTGCTCAGCTTAACTAGGTTGCCCAGTTCCTAAGACTCAATTGGGTGCCCCTCTGTACCTAACACGGGACCTGACCCGCAACAAAAAGCACCCTAGTGAATTTCGAACCTCAGGGACTTGCCGAATCTGTTCCCGGAATCCCTCACCCGCAGGCCTACAAACCCACAGGCCTGCATCCTGACTTCTCTGCCGGACCACGCGAAGCCACTTCAACTAAGAACCCAACCCTAAACCCTAAACCCTAAACCCTAAACCCTAAACCCTAAACCCTAAACCCTAAACCCTAAACCCTAATTGGAGTGCGCATTTCTGTAGATGCTTTGATTCGCTACATGGGGATCCGAAAAGGATCCTGTCGGAAGCTCCTTTTCAGCCTTCGAGCGCAATGTGAACCTCTCAACCCAATAACATCCCAATAAGCTCTAGGCCGCCCTAAACTCTAAACACCCTGATCAACACCTACAAACCTTCAAAAGCCCTAAAGCCCCTCTTGAAAGCCCTTGAAACCCTAGAAAACCCTTAAACGCACCTGATTACAAGCCCTGAAAACCCTGAAAGCCCTTACCTTAGAGCCCTGAAAACTCTAAACCCTAAACCCTAAACCCTAAACCCTAAACCCTAAACCCTAAACCCTGAACCCTGAACCCTGAACCCTGAACCCTAAACCCTTATGAAACCGAGGCACCTGCATGGGCGCCTCACGTGCCTGCGCGCGGATCAGCAGTGGCGCTGCGAAGTCCGGGACATTCCTCTTTCGACGGACTTAGGGTTTAGGGTTTAGGGTTTAGAGTTTAGGGTTTAGGGTTTAGGGTTTAAGGTTTAGGGTTTAGGGTTTAGGGTTTCGGGTTTTGGGTTTGGAGCTTGGAGTTTGGGGGTATAGGGTTAGGGGTTTAGGGTGTGGAGATTAGGGGGGCTGAGGCTCTCTCCAAAGGGTTCTGGGGTTGCCTGAAACACTAAACCCAGAATCCTACATCCTAAACCCTAAACCCTAAACCCTAAACTCTAACTTGCCCCAAAATCCTCTTAATCCTTTTCCCTTGTGCCTGTCGGAGGATCCGGTGGTCAAAGCCCTGTGCCTCCACAAGAAGGTTTAGGGCGTGGGTTTTTCTTAGGGTTTTTGGTTTTTTAGGGTGTTTAGGGCTTTTAGGGTTTTTTAGGGTGTTTAGGGTTTTGAGTGCTTTTAGGGAATTTGGGTTTTTGGGGTTTTTAGGGCGTTTAGGGCGTTTAGGGCTTTTAGGGCTTTAGGGTTTCTAGGGTTTTTGGGGTTAGGGTTTCGGGCGACCAGAATAGTGGGGGAGGGCCATCCCAAGCGCGCTTCACTTTTCCAGGTGTCCCACCCCACACCTCAAAGGCTAGTACCTTTGCATCTCCGCATACAAAAGAAGTTTAGGGTTCAGGGTTCAGGGTTCAGGGTTTAGGGTCTAGGGTTCGATGGTAGGCTGCGTGCCTGCATGAAACGACACGCTCAAATATGATCGCGAGTGAAGGGTCAGGCGAACTGATTCCCGCATCCTTAGCCCCAACCCTTAGCCCTCAACCCTCAACCATAATCCGAGCATCTGTTTCATTGGCGCCCCCCCCCCCCCCCAACCCCCAACGCCATAAGAAAGGCAGCGCGCCAATAATAAGACCATGGCAATGTACTGATTCTCCATTAAAAGCAGTAGGCTGCAGATACCTAAGGTGCTGTAGCTGTGATCCAAACTGCAGCTCAGCAAGCAAGAAAAAAAGCCTGCCGACAGATTTTTGAACCCCCCCCCGAAAACATGTTCTTTAAATGTGGTGGTATTGGCCCATACGAAAACACACGCAATGGAAAGTAGTCTTCCAGCAGGCTTCTCGACGAAAAAAAACTTGAAATGTGAGTGTATGAATTAAACAGATGCTCGGACTAAACCCTAAACCCTAAACCCTAGACCCTAACCCCCCCAGGGTGCATACTTTGAACAACTTCAGACCCAACCTGTTGGAGTACGCCCCAGCGGGAACGCAGAACGCAGCGAGAAGCACCCACAAGGCCACTGCAGGCATGGGTAGGGCGTGCTGCGGCGGGCCTGGGACTTAGCCTTGAGCCGAGAAAGCCGAGGATTGCAGACCGTCGAACCATTTGGGGGGTTTAGGGTTTAGGGTTTAGGGTTTGGGGTTTAGGGTTTGGGGTTTGAGGTTTGGGGTTTAGGGTTTGCATTGGTTTAGGGTGATTCGTTGCTGGGACTCTGGGAATTAGGTTTGCAGCGCCCGCAGACTGCTCTGAAGGGGGATGCAACAGGTACCTAGTTTCCGAATTCCCTACTACGAACTACGAATAGCCCAAAAACCTCGTATAAAAGGCCCTTGGGCCCAAACACCCAAAAACAAAAGTCCGAAGAGCCTTAGGGGTAAGGTTTATAGGGCTTAAAGCACAAAATGTTCACCCTCTCGAAACCGAGCAAAGAAAGAAAACACACTAGTCCCCAAACCCTGTGCAGCAGCGGGCATTTCTGAATGTCGGCTTCATGTCGGCCCCTTTGGGGCGCCAGTCAGGGGTGAACCTCTCATCTGGTTTAGGGTTTAGGGTTTAGGTTTAAGGATTAAGGGTTTGCCACCGAAACCTCTATCTCTGCGTTTCAGCTTCAATAAGCCCAAAATCCCTGAACTGCATACCATGCTCCAAGCTCGATTTCTGGGTTGGGAAAGCTACCCGACCACCGGCGCTCATTCCCTCCACACGGTGAACCTGCGTAAGGCGTTCGGGCTTCAAGTGTTCAAGGGTTACGCGTTAGGGTTTGGGGTTGAGGTGGGTGGGCCGAGTGGGGGTAGGGTCTCAGCCACCCCTACAAACAGCAGGGTTTGAGGTTCAGATTTTGCTCTAACGCTCCATGAATCCGAAACCCTGTAATGCCGATAAGCCCTATAAACCCTACATAGCCACAAACCCTGTACACCCTAAAGAAAAAGCCCTACAAGTCCTAGTTGTCAACTCTACCTGTAAAGCCTGAGAACATTGTAAAAGCCTACGCCCTATACACCCCATAAGACCCAAGAAGCCCCTGTAGAACACATAAGCCCTTTATCCTGAACCCTGGAATCTTGGTAGGCTCGGAGGATCAAGCCGTAACCTGAAAAACCCTACTGGGTTTGGGTTCACGGTTTAGGGTAGCTATGGTTTAGGGATGTATAGGGTATAACGGGTAGGCCCTTTTGGGTAGGCCCTTCAACCTCACACGTAAGCCTATGACCTCTCCAGGGTTCAAAGAAATAGCGTCCTAAAACCCTAAAAGCCCTAAACCTCATACACCCCGAACCCTACAACCGTAGGCTTATTATTATAGCCCTTGTAAGCCCGATACATACCATGCCTCATACACCCCAAACCCTAGACCCTTAACCTCCACTTCAGGGTTCAGGGATGTGGTCAAGCCATCCCAAGTTCAACCCCACCCAAACAAATCCTGAGCGAGGTTGCCAAGTAGGGTTTGGTTTAGGGCTTGGGGCTTGGGGCTTGGGGCTTGGGGCTTGGGGCTTGGGATTTGGGGTTTGGGGTTTGGGGTTTGGGGTTCAGGGGTTAGGGTTTAGGGTTTAGGGTTCCACAATAGACTAGGCGAAAAGAAAAGGCAACCTTTTAGTTTCAACAGCACGCTGAGCCCGAGTATGGACTGGGAGGTTCAGGCTGGTGCTTTCCGTGTTTGAGCCATTTCCTGGCTACGTAGCCCTAAGGCCTGCTTACAGTATAGCTGCCAATGAAGCACCAAGCCCTAACTAAACCCTAAACCCTAAACCCTAAACTCTAAACCCTAAACCCTAAACCCTAAACCCTAAACCCTGAACCCTAAACCCCAAGCCCTAAAACGGCCTGTACCGCGTGTTCGCGATGGGACCGAAGTCGTAGCGTTTCTGCGGCCACTTGGGGATGCTTCCCAGCCTCAGGCGTTTAGGGCTTTCTTAAAGGGGGTTTAGGCTTTAGGGTTTAGGGTTTAGGGTTTAGGGTTTAGGGTTTTAGGGCTTAGGGAGCTAGGGAGCTGAGGGTGTTTACGGTTTGGGGGGTTTTAGGGGGTTTAGGGGGTATAGGGGGTTCAGGGGGTTCAGGGGGTTTAGGGGGTTTAGGGGGTTTAGGGGGTTTAGGGGGGTTTAGGGGGTTTTTAGGGCGGTTTAGGGGGTTTAGGGTGGGTTTGGAGCTTTTTAACCCTTGCAACCTCCAAGCATGGGATCGTCAGACGCCCAGCCTAAAGAGTGCATACCACCCCCCCCCCCCCCCAACTCCCAACTCCCAAACTCTTGGGGTTTCGGGTAGATCTTTTCCAGTTGAGGGTTCAGGGTTGAACATCCTAGTAAGATAGCATCCTACCCAAGCGCTGAAGCAACAAAACAGTCAGCTGCAAGTTGCAAACGCTCTAAGCCCTATAAACCCTACACCCATAATATAAAACCTAGACACTAAATCATAAACTCTACACCTAAGCCCTGAACCCTGAACCCTGAACCCCAAACCCTGAACCCTGAACCCTGGCCCCTAAACCCTAAACCCTAAACCCTGCAGACAGCTGTGAACCTGGCTCGGAGTAAGTGCTGGTGTAATGTGGCTTGTTGACCTGCGCTGAAGGCTTCAGGGACCAGGGCTCTAGGCTTCAGAGTTTAGGCTTGGGTTTTGGGGTTTAGAGGGCTTAACTAGCTTGGCCCCTGGAACCCTCTGAAAAATATTCCTAAGTATGATCCCAAACCTAAAGCCCAAACGCTAAACCCTCAACCCTAAACCCAATAAGGGGAAACATGCAACCACATGCCAGGATACAAACTCAGAGGAGGGATACAGAATAAAGGAGCCGATGGCCAAGGGCCTACCCTGTTCAGGTTTTGACATTGAGAGTTTAGGGTCTAGGGTTTAGGGTCGAGGGTTGTGGGTTGAGGGTTTAGGGTTTAGGGTAGAGCTTTTGGCGATTCAGGGCGGGCAGGTGCCTGGGTTGTTTTGTGCTGGGCTCAGTCAGAAATTTGCCACTCCTCACATCCGAAGTCCAATACGGCTGCTGCGCGCCGCAAGCCTGAACCCTAAACCCTAAATCCTAAACCCTAAACCCTGAACCCTAAACCCTAAACCCTAAACGGCCCTAAACCCTAAACCCTAAACCCTAAACCCTAAACCCTAAACCCTAAACCCTAAACCCTAAACCCTAAACCCTAAACCCTAAACCCTAAACCCTAAACCCTTCATCGGGGCCGAACGGACTTTTGCGGAGGTTACAGGGTTGCTACAGGGTTGTCGCGCGCAAGAGTCTGGCACCCTAAACCCTGAACCCTAAACCCTAAACCCTAAACCCTAAAATTACTGGTTTATAGTTGGGATAGTAATAAAAATGTAAAATTTTATTCTTATTGAGTTTAAGTACCCTTAAAAATGTAAAATGTTATCCCACTATGACAAAGAAAACCCTTAACCCTAAACCCGTTCAGACGCCAATGCAAAAAGAAGCTCGGCGCCTTGATGCCAAGGCAGCAATCTCCCTCTTGTGCCTTCTTTGCCTGCCATCGACTTCGGACACTTGGTTGTCCCCATAAAGCCCTCTAGGGTTTAGGGTTTAGGGTTTAGGGTTTAGGGTTTAGGGTTTAGGGTTTAGGGTTTACGGTGCCTAAAATTAGGAAAACTGTAAAATGACCGCCTGGGACTCTAAGGGCCTTCAGTTCTGATGAAGCTCTCAGGGGCTGTTGCTACTACAAAGCCCCCCCCCCCCATCCTAAATTAAATCCCCTCAACCCAAAACCCAGAAATCCGCTCCACGCCACGATCCTAGGGTTTAGGGTTTAGGGTCTAGGGTCCCAAACTCAGCGCGTGGGGGGTTGACAGTTTCCAGGTGAAGCCGGGCTTTTCGGTCAACTTGCCAAACGTCATCCGGGCTTGTCTCTCAGGGTTTAGGGTTTGGGGTTGATGTGAGCCCTTCATCTGGGAAGCCTTACATACACCTTACATGCTCTATAAAAACCCAGGGCCCATGCTTCAGAACCCTTCAAAGAACGTAAGGGGCGTACTAAGGGACCATCTCTTCCCTTACCCATGCACGCCAAACAAATTTAAGCCCTAAGCCCTAAACTTACCCCCAAACCCCAACAACCCCTAAACCCTAAAACCCCTTAACCCCACAAGGCCCTAAGCCCCAAAACAACCCTAAACCCCAAAAAGCCTAACTCCCACACAGCAAAAAAAAACCCTAAAACCTGCTTTCGGACCTGCAGCAACATCTATGCTAAAACCAAAACCCTAAACCCTAAACCCTAAACCCTAAACCCTAAATCCCCAAACCCAGAAACCCTAAGACCTGCACTCGGACCTGCAGGTCCGGGGAGTCAAAGAAAATCCGCTGTGAAGCGAAGTGATGCTTCATGGGTGCTCCCACTTCCTGGCCGAGCTACAAGGCTCAAACCCTAAACCCTAAACCCTAAACCCTAGACCCTAAACCCTAAACCCTGAACCCGAAACCCTGAACCCTCTAGGCTTCAGGGCTTAGAGGGTTTTGTACTGGTACTACTGGGCACCCTAGTTTTTCCAGATCCTAGTCCTGCGTACGTTGAAGAAGAGGTTTAGGGCTTAGGTTTAAGAGCTTCGGGTTTAGGGAGTATGGGTTTTGGGCTCGGGGTTCCGAACTGGCAACTTGCCAGGCAAGAGGGAAGGGCTTAGGGTTTAGGGTTTAGGGTTTAGGGTTTAGGGTATAGGGTTTAGGGTTTAGGGTTTAGGGTTTAGGGTTTAGGGTTTAGGGTTTAGAGTTTAGGATTTAGGGTTTAGGGTGTAGGGTTTAGGGCATCGCAAACAGGAGAGCGCTCTTCGCCAACGTCCAAGGCCCAAGCCTCAAAACCGAATGTCCGGTTCAGGGTTTGAGGGTTTGGTGTTTTGGTGGTTAGGGTTTGGGGATCTTGGAGTTTGGGGTTTCGGGTTTGGGGTTTAGGCGGCTTTGGGGGTTTTGGGGGTTTGTGGGGGTTTGGGCTTTGGGGTTCGGTGTAATGCCTTAGGCATTTTTGTTAACATTCTTAAACGGCGCAGACTGCAGCAGCTCAAGAGGTCCATAAAATCCCCTACAAGGAGGGGATTTCTTTAGTCTAGTAAAGGGGCCCTCCTTGTAAGCCCTAATCCCTACACCCTGAACCCAAAACCCTTTCAACCCGTCAGGGGGAGCGTCCTGCGGGATGAAGTTCTGATGTTCACCCAACTCTGAGAGCGTGCTCTTGTGGAAGGGACCCTGTTGGCAGGGAGCTTCAACTGAGCCCTAAACCCTAAACCCTAAACCTAAACCCTAAACCCTAAACCCTAAACCCGAAACCCTAAACCCTAAACCCTAAACCCTAAACCCTAACTTGCCAAAACTGGCATTTTGGGGCTTAAGTCTTTGCTGTCTCTTGGCGTGGGGCTCTTCGGCTAGAGGGCGGTAGGTGCAAGGCCTGAGAGGGCTTGAAGCTTACATGCTTGGGCGGTTTAGGGTTTAGGGTTTAGGGTTTAGGGTTTAGGGTCTAGGGTTTAGGGTTTAGGGTTTAGGGTGTAGGGCTTAGGGGTTTCTGACAGGCCCCCCGAGGAGCACCACATCGCAGGGTTCTTAGAGTTGACGGGAAGCTACGTGGTCCCTATTTGTGGAGCCTGAGCTTCTTCAAAAGGCTAGGCTGCCCAGTAACCTAGGCTTAAAAAGGGTGCCCTTTTTTGCTTAAAGGGGTTTCTAAGGGAACCTAAACCCCCCCCAAAAAAGGGAATAAGGGTACTACTGGGCATCCTAGAGTGGTTCTGAAGTCTGTGTCCTTGGGTATTATACGATCGAAGGCTTCTTCAAGTAAGGGCCTATACCAAGGGATCATGTAGTAACTCACGACCCTTAGATTAAAGGAGGAGGCACTTAGGGAGCCCTGGAAAAATGTAGGGCAAGCGTCCGTAGGCTGCGGGATGTTCTTCTTGCTGGTGAACATGTTCCCTTGCTAGTGCTGTGCTGTCCAGGGCTTTATGGTTTTTTGGCTATGTGCGCAGGCTTGCCACCAAGAAAGCGTCTGGTCCTTGTCATTGTCCTTTTCGTCGCTCCTTTGCCAGCCATGGCAGCCATGGCTTGTCGTTGCCTCGTTTCCCTCCTTTGGGTCGTCAACACAGCAGTGAGCTTCTGCTGAGCGGCCGTCTGCACCGCCATCCAGGCGTGCAGCCTTGCTAGAATGAAAGCGAAGCTCTAACGTATGTTACAACTGTTAAGCACGCGCACAAGTCAAACAGTCAGATTTGCAACCATCTTGCCCATGATCAGGATCATTTTCTATTCGCAATCGTCATCACCATCATCATCATCATCATCAACAACAACAACATATTATCTCAAGAAGCCTGCGCTTGCTCCGTAGACTCGTTAGGCCTGGACTGGCCCTCCTCAGCTTTCCGTACAGTCTCGATCAACGTCTTGCAGGCTCATTCCGATGTTGCGGAAGAGCCTCTAAAAACTTCCGCAGTTCAGTTTAGGGTTTAGGGTTTAGGGTTTTGGGTTTAGGGTTTAGGGTTTAGGGTTTAGGGTTTAGGGTTTTGGGTATAGGGATTTGGGTTTTGGGTTGAGGGTTGAGGGTTGAGGGAGATGGTCTGCCACCAAGAGAGCAACAGCGATCAGGATGGCTTTGTGATTCGTAAGCTTACATAGAGCACATGCATGCCAAAAACCCGACTACCAAAGAGCGCCCCGCCTCCTGTCGACACCAAAGCAACTAACCCCTACAGATGGCTAGCCGCAAAACGAAACCCCAAATGACTCCACCGAAAACAGGCGAACCTCCCCAAATCCCTGCACACGTCTAAGCTTCGGGCCTTGAGAACTTAGGGCATGCGTCTCGAAGCACACTACATCAAGCTTAACCCTAAACTTATGAAACAACCTGAAGCTTCAGAGTTCACAAGTCTCCAGGGGCCCTTCCTTGCCAACGATGCCACAGGACATGTCCCCCTCCTGCCGCTTGAAGTTCTTGTCGGCCTCTGGCTGGTCAGGGTCGTTTGTGCTGTAAGATCTAGGAGGGTTGTCAGGGTTTAGGGTCTGGGGTTTGGGGGTTTGGGGCATAGGATTATCTCCTTTTCTGCTTGCTTCCTGAGTTCTTTTTGGAGGAAAAGCATAACTTTCGGGGTGTAGTGGTGTTTTTTGGTACAGCCTTGGGGTTTGGGGCTTTAAAGGTTTCGGAGGTTTTGCCTTAAGGCTTTGGGTGTCAGCCTCTCGAATGTAACGTATGTGTGGAATCCCTTCAGACGGTTCTTTATAGGCTTGGATGGCAATGATTAATGCCTGATCCTGTTTTGGGTTGGGGTTTTGACCCTAAGCCCGAAGCCCTAAGCCCTAAACCCTAAACCCTAAACCCTAAACTGCTAAGGGGATTACGGCTTCAGGGCCTCTAGACTTCTAGGACGTCCAGGCTTAGGGTTTCGGCATGTTTTTTGAGCGTGGGCCGGAGGCATTTGCAGGCTGGTGGTTGAAGGGTGTTTTGGGTTAGGTTGTTCGGCCATGGGGTTCTGGTTTGGGGTTTGGGGTTTGGGGTTTGGGGTTTGGGGTTTGGGGCTTGGGGCTTGGGGTTTGGGGTTTGGGGTTTGGGGTTTGGGGTTTGGGGTTTGGGGTTTCGGGTTTGGGGTTTAGGGTTTAGAGTTTAGGGTTTAGGGTTTAGGCTTTAGGGTTTAGAGGCTGGAGTTTAGGGTTTAGGACTTAGGGTTTAGGATCTCTCTCACCTAGGATGGGCTTAAGGTTTGGGGTTTAGGGCTTAGGGCTTAGGCCAACTCGACTGCAGGAGCCTCAAGACTTACCAAGTCGATCCCGTGATGACCCCTGTCCACCTCCTAGTCTGAACTATCCAAAACTCCCTCTCCCTAAACCCTAAACCCTAAACCCTAAACCCTAAACCCTAAACCCTAAACCCTACTCTCTTTCAATAAGCCCTACATTCCCCTCGACCCCGGGCGTGGGCGGCGCCCTAAACCCTAAACCCCAAACCCTAGCGAGGTAATCATCTGGACCCAAGAGTACCTGGGAATGGAAAGAGTGCCCTTTGTGGTTCAAAAAAGGGTTTCTAAAGGGAAGCCTAAACCTTAGAAACAAGGGGATGAGGGCCTACTCTTGTGGACTTTGGGCTTGAGGCTTAGGGGTACGTAACCTACTATTTGCTTCAGAACTCCCCCTCACCCCCCTCACCCCCCTCTCCACAAAAAAGAAATCAAAACAATTATTCCTTGCAAGGGTACTGTAGGGATGTTTATCTTGTATCTGTTGGTGGGGTTCTTAAGCAAATAGTAGAATCTATACTGAACTCGAAACCCCTGCAGAAGTGACATTTTTGCTGAACTCGAAACCCCTGCAACAGTTACAATTCTTGCTGTTTCTTAGGAATTACAGCACACACAAATTAACAATATATTTCCAAGTACCCTAAGCCCTAAACCCTAAACCCTAAACCCTAAACCCTAAACCCTAAACCCTAAAGAAATTGTATGAAGCACATAGTGGTCAGAAGCCTCATGGATGCGGGCATCCCGGTTCAGCTCCGCAGCTGCCACAACCACCCTCCGATCTCCAGCTCATGGAGGGTTTAGGGTTTAGGGTTTAGGGTTTAGGGTTTAGGGTTTAGGGTTTAGGGCCTGACATCCTTTTTACTTGGTGCCCTCGCTGCTTTTTTAACCTACGAAGTTGGCACTGAAGCCGGGAAGCTCTGTACGCTTTATAACCACCCTAAACCATAAACCCCAAACCCTAAACCCTAAACCCCAAACCCTAAACCCTAAACCCTAAACAGTAACTTGATAGGCTTGATAGGCCCCTAGACCACTTGGCGTCAGTTCAGCCCTTGGGCCTATAAAGCCTTAGAGTCCTTGCAAAGCTCGTGTTCTGAAGACTTTTGAAGAACACTTCGCGAGTATTCTGCTGTAACCTATGCATGTGAGGGTGATTCTGCTGCAGGGTTTAGGGGTTTGGGGTTTAGGGTTTAGGGCTTAGGGCCTAGGATTTAGGGAGGGATCACATTGAAAAGAGGTCTGTAGGCATGCAAGACCTCCAAACACACCCTAGATTGGGATGTTCCCCCTTATACTAACGACTAACAGCCCTTAATAGGGATTCTAGTACCCTCTGTTAATCCCTATTAAGGACTGCTAGCATAAGGGGGATCATCCCAAACTCGAAACCCTTGAGGCCGAAAACCCTAGAACCCGAAAGCCGAAAACCCTAAAACCCGAAACCCCTAAGCCGAGCCTCCAAACCCTAACCCTCAGTCCCGATCCGCGAGCCCTGACTCGCAACCGCATTGAAGCCCTGAACAACATAATGGGGGGGGGGGGGGGGTTCCGAAAATTTGGGGTGCCCTTTGTAATATGGATTCTGGTATTTTGGGGTATATTCGGGGGACCCTATTTTGGGAAATGCCCATTCTGGGGTTTGGGGCTAAGGGCTTTAGGGTGTGAGTGTTTGGGGGGTTTAGGGTGAGGGCGTTTTTAGGGCTTCGGAATATGGTCCCTTGTCTTCGCACTCACTCAGTTTCCTAGGCGGGTGAGGCTTGCTCCGAGGGCTTAACGTTCTTGCAACTATCCCACGAAAGGCTCAAGATTACCGCACATCAAAGAGGACGATCATGTTGAAGAGGTGACCATATAACAGCTGAATAGACTCTAAGGGTTTAGGGTTTAGGGTTTATAGGGTTTAGGTGTAGGTCCTTCCACGTGAAGTCTTTTCAAGGACTTTTAAGGGGTCCCTCCTTTTATCCTCTCAGTCCCCTAAGCTTTCTGGGGCTAAGGCTTAGGTAAACAAAAGAAAGCTACACTGCAGTTTCAATCCAAAGCCCAGAAATTCATCGAGCTCTAAGAAAACTCTATAAGCCCTGAAAGCTGTGTATAAGCCCTAAGAGCTATGTATATACCCCCTAACCCACTCTTAAGCCCATAAATGCTAACCCCTGAAACCCCTGAACCCTACACCCTCAGCTTGGATCCACCACCTCGGCCTGTCTCCAATATCCACCTGTAAGCTGCTTCAGGTGTTGGGATTTGAGTGTAGGGTTTAGGGTTTAGGGTTGTTAAGAAGGCTCAAAGGGCTGGTCAATCTCAACGAGACTTTGGGGCCTTGATATGTCTAGACCCAAGAGACAATGAACAGGGGCACCCTTTTTGAATTAAAGGTTGATCTGGGAACCTTCACCCTGAAAAAGCGAGACTAAGGCCCTACTCTGAGTCCTGGAGTAGTGAAGACTGGAGCTTTCTGGGTCAGGAGCGCCCGGGGCTGTGCTTAAGGATAGCCACTCAGGGTTCTGGGAGGGAGGGCACTGATGGGGCTTAGGGTTTAGGGTTTAGGGTTTAGGGTTTAGGGTCTAAACCCTACACCCCCAATACCAGCATTATCCATAAAACAGGGGAGGGAATTATTTTCCTTGTATCCCCGAACGGACCCTATATCTAGATTCACCAATATATATATATATATACACATATATATATATACATAGGTATGTGTGTCTATACAGTAAGCCCTGTTTCATGTTTTGGAGGTTCAGCTCAGGTAAACCCAAAGACAAGCGATGCCGGAATGTGTGACCAGCACATGGTCCGCACAACGTTTGCCCCAAACCCTAAACCCTAAACCCTACACCCTAAAACCCTAAAACCCTAAACCCTAAACCCTAAACAACCCAAAACAACCCTAAACCCTAAACAACCCTAAATCCTAAACCCAAAACCCTAAACCCTAAACCTAAACCCTAAACCCTAAACCCTAAACCCTAAACCCTAAACCCTACTCTCAAGGCCCCAAGTCTGGTGTAAGGTTCATTTTTTCAGAGGATGCTTGGAGGTAAATGTTACTTATTAACCAATTATAACTGTACTTCGGGGTTTAGGGTTTAGGGTTTAGGGGTGTTTATTAACGAATTACAACTGTACTTATAGCCACTTGTCAGCCCCTTAAGTGCCCTAACGTGGTTCTAACTTCGGTTATGAGTGCAGTTACCCTAAACCCTGAAACCTGAACCCTAAACCCTAAACCCTATGCCATAATTGGTGAATAAGCACTATGAACCTCCAAATGCAGGCTTCCGCACCTGACCCAAGCCGTGGGAGGTGGCGCTGAAGTGCGGGACAGACCTGTCGCTGGAGGGCCTACAGGGTTTGGGTTTAAGTTTAGGGTTTAGGGTTTAGGGTTTAGGGTTATAGGGTTATAGGGTTTAGGGTTTGGGGTTTAGGGTTTAGGGTTTAGGGTTTGGGGTTTAGGGTTTAGGGTTTTTAGGTTCAGAGCTTGGGATGGTTGAGGTGTTGCTTGACGAGCCTTGAACTTAGACCCTTAACTGCACACCGCCAAACCATGTCTCTGGTTGAACTTATCGCAAGGCTGTCTGAGCAACCCAGGAATAAGAAATTGCGTTTAGGGTTTAGGGTTTAGGGTTTAGGGTTTGGGGTTTGGGGTTTGGGGTTTGGGGTCTGAGTGTTGGATAGATGTGTTGTAAGAAATGGGATTCCAAAAAAGAAGTGAAAAAAAAGGGGAGCCACTTCGGAGATCCAGCGGGGGTAGCCTTACGCATCACAAGTCCCATGAGGCACTGAGGCTTAAACAAAAGCAGGCCTTTGAGTTCCTAACACCGGGGTTAGGGTTAGGGTTTAGGTTTAGGGTTTAGGGTTTAGGATTTAGGGTCAGGGTTTACGTTTAGGGCTTAGGTTGTAGGGTTAGGGTTTAGGAACCGAAACCCTCAATAAGCAGCAGGCGTCCAAACTTGTAGACCTACAGTCTACAACTTGGACAAACCTCCGGAACACTCTCTCCCACTCCAAAATGGGGGTTTACGATATTGGGGGTACCTTATTGGGGTCCTTTTTATACGGGGATCCTACTATTTGGGGTCTATATCGGGGTCCCTCATATTCGTAAACCGTGAAATCCCAAACTTAAAATGCAAAGACAGACTGAAACCCAAAGCCGCCAAAACCTAGCCCCTCTCGACCGGAAAGCCTAAACCCTTTGCCTTGAGCCCTAAACCCTAAACCGACCCCAAGCCCTACCCCCCCCCCCCCCCCCACCCACCCCCACTCGGTACCCCGCCCTCGGATGCCACGCGTGTGATCACCCGGACCGGCGTGCAAATCCGCTTCGCCTGAGCTTGTACTTCAAGCTTGGGGGCTTCAGGGATTTAGGGTTCAGGGCTTATGGTTTCGGGCTTTGGGTCAAGCATCTTCAGCTTAAGGTTTAGGGGCCTAAGGGTGTTTAGGGGGCAAGGTTTAGGGCAGGGGGTTTAGGAGTTTATGGGGTTTGGGGGAGTGAGGGGTTTGGGGGGAAAAAGGATGCTGAGGGGGTTTAGGCTTTCAGTTTCGAGGGAAGCTGGCAAGCTTTGGCCATGCGTTAAGGGCTATGACCTCCCATCGAGGGCCGCGCAGCTACATGTGTCGGCCAACCCCTGAAGCACAGAATTATTGTTGGGTTTTGGGGTCAAGATACTGGGCTTGGGCTTCAAACCTTGGGTTTTACGACGTCTCCAGGCTTGATCACGTTTCGGCGAACTGCCTCTCCGACTTCATCAACTCCTTCAAACGCTCGTCGAAAGCAAATCCGACAGCCAGCAAGGTGGCGACCAAGTCTGCTCTGCTCCACTTGGAAATTCCATCCCCAAACCCTCTAAAGCCCCAAAAAAAGCCCAAGTGAACACCTCAACTCTAAACGTCCCAACCGAGGCGCATGGACCCCTGGGAACACCGATGCGAGCGTTCTCATCGGCCCTGCCAGCAAGAGCGCTGAGTCTTTTCAAACTGAAACCCCTAAACCCTAAACCCTAAACCCTAAACCCTAAACCCTAAACCCTAAACTGCGGAGCCTGCTTAACACTTTCGACTCGAGGATGCCACGGGGTTTTTGGTGTGAGGTTTAGGGTTTAGGGGTTTAGGGTTTAGGGTTTAGGGGTTTCAGGGTCTCAGTTATGGTTTAGAGGTTTAAGGGTTCAGGGTTTGGAGTTGAAGGCTTACGGCTTTTGGTCTATAAGGCTATCAGGAATCACAGTGCTGTCGCAAAATTTGCTTGCAGGTGGCTTCGGGCTTGGGGCTTCAAACAACTCGGGCAGCAGCGTGCTTGACTGAGCTGACACACCCTGCGCCATTCGCTGTCGTCTCACTCAGGACGGCTGACAAAACCACTTTGCGACAAGGACTGCAAGTCCTACGAGTTTGTAAGGTTGAGGGCTTATGGGAGCTACGCACAAAGGGGCATATTTAACTAGAAGGGTAAATATATGGAGCATTTTACGCGGTGACTAATTTCCATAAATCCTGAAGCTTTCCTGAATGGCTCCCGGAAGTCTGATCAGCAAGCTGCTGCGGCATTCTTCTCATCCGATGGCTGACAAGTTGAGACAGATCACATATCACCTTGTCCAAGAAGCATAAGCATCACAAGCGGCATCGCCAACACTTTGAGACGAAATAACCGTGTGTTTTGTTGGCTCGGACGTCTTGTGGAACTCTTTGGCCTCATGAAAGAACTTATGCAACGCTAAGGGCTCTAGACACTAGAATAATATGCCCTTTGGCATCCAGAATTTCAATCTCTGGCATGTCGTTGTCAAATCCTACGGCAACATTTTGAACTGTCATCGTGTGTACCTAAGCCCTAAACCCTAAGCCCTAAACCCTAAACCCTAAACCCTAAACCCTAATACCGACTTTCACGCATGTTTGCGTCATTTTGGAGTTCAGCTGTAGAGTTGCAAACTGCTCTAACAGATGTACTGCCATTGAATTAGTCATGCAACTGCGAACAGATCGCGCTAGCAAATAAGCCGTTCTGCAAGTAGAAGTCTACTTCGTGCTTGGAACGCTGGAACGAACTATTAAGATCAGCTCTTCGATCTGGTCTTGCATCTGTTTCACACGCGCGTTCCACATTCTTGTCAAGTCCCACTTATATCTCTGGGCCATTGGATGGCACCAAAGACCGTGATTGGACTTACCCACGCTGTAGCGCTTGGTCAATCGCACCGTCTCGCATCTAATCACAATGCCAGACATTTGCAAGCGCTCAAAAGGTGCCAGACGCTGCCAAAGGCCGCCTGCTTTTATGCTTGCCAGGCTTAGGGTTTAGGGATTAGGGTTTAGGGTTTATAAGGGTTATAAGGGTTATAGGGTTATAGGGTTATAGGGTTATAGGGTTGTCGGGTTTTAGGGTTATAGGGTTATAGGGTTTAGGGTTTAGGGCTCGCCCACGGACGCAAGGCGGTGCCTCCACCCACATGCCTGTAAGAAGCCGATTGGAGAATTGGATGGCACCGGGGACCGTGATTGACTTCTTGGCCAATGCTGCAAGACCTGTGCCTCCAAAGCCCGCCCACCAGCGGCACTCAATCACTCAGTCGTTTCAGTTGTTTCAAGTAGGCCGGCGGCGGCAAGCTGGATTGCTCACGGTCGAGAATCTGAGTTGAACCCTAAACCCTAAGATTGGAAACACTGGCGAAATCGACTCGTCAGAGCTTTCCTCGTAGCCTGTACGAGCTGAGCTCCAGACCCAACGAGTAACCTAGGAATAAGCAAGGGGTGCCCTTTTTGGGGTAAAGGGGCTTCATGAAACGGGAACCCAAGCACAGAAAGGGTCCTTGCGCTGAGCTGCAGAAACGGTCAGCGCTGTGTTTGGAGAGGAAGACCCTAAACCCCTAAACATCAAGCTCTATGAAGTGGGGGGGGTTAGCAGGGTTCGGGGAGGTCTCGAGGCTAGGGGAGTTCAGGGGTTCGCCTCCGAGGTTGACTACCAGGATGTTGGTTGTGGAGGGTTGAGGGTTGAGCGCCCTAAATCCTTGTAACCCTAAAACCCTCAAGCCCTGAAAACCCACCTACAGACTCCTAAGCCCTAAAACCCTAAACCCTAAACCCTAACCCCTAACCCTAAGCCCTAAACCCTAAAGCCCCAAACTCCTAAGAACCCTCAGTCTCTCCCCGGCCTGGCCAGCTCGTAGCGGGTGCCCTGCCAGCCCGGTATCTGGCCGTGAAGCCAGGAGGTGCAGTCGAAGCCAGGCTGAGGGAAGCGGAGAAGGGCCGGTGTTGCTTCAGAGGGCTCTTTCAGGGGCTTTAGGGTTGAGGGATGTTAGGGGTTTTAGGGATTTTAGGGAGTTTAGGGGTTTTCGGGAATTTAGGGGTTTTGGGGCATTTTCTTGTGGAGGCTGTAGGGTTTTTGGGGTGGTTTTCGAAGGTTGGCCGGCTCTGGGGTTTGGGGGGTTTAGGGTTGCAGGGGCTCTAGGCGGGGATGTTCTTGGCAGCTCCAGGAGTTCATTCCTGAAAGTTTAGGGTTTATAAGGGGTTAGGGTTTAGGGTTTGAGGATGCTGAAAGCAAGAGGCAGTGCAGATGTCTGCGACATGCAGAGCTGGGCCCTGCATTCTGGGTAAGGAGGCGCCTAGTCCTTCGGACAACCCTGAACCTAAAGTACTTGGGGTGTTAGGCCCTTCTGCTTCATCTTCGTCATCTCATGTCGCACACACCTTTCCTTCCGGGTCTTAGGTTTAGGGTTTTGGGTACCAATGGACCAATCCCCCAGCGTTTAGAGGCTGCTGCACGTAGAGGGTGCAGGTGATCCTCCAGAAAAGGAGGCCAATGCTATGCCCAGGGCTTTGGAATACAAGGCCCAGAGCGTGAATGACAAAAGACCGGTCTGGCATTAACAGTCCCTTATTCAGCCTTATTCTAGGTCTAACCTTCAGCCTTATTCTAGGTCTAACCTCTCCAAACCCTAAATTCCAAACCCTAAACCCTAAACCCGAAACCCTAAACCCTAAACCCTGAACCCTAAACCCTAAACCCCAAACCCTAAACCCAAGCCTTGGCCATGCTGCCATCGCCTTTTGGTGGCTTCTTGCGACTGGAGGCCTGGACTCCAGGGTGTGGAGCCTTCTTTACGTAGGGTTTAGGGTTTAGGGTTTAGGGTTTAGGGTTTAGGGTTTCGGGTTTCGGGTTTAGGGTTTAAGGTTTAGGGTTTGTGATGCCGCCATACTACTTCAATTGTCAGGTCCGTGAGGATACAGGGCTTAGGGCTGAGTAGGGTGTAGGGCTTACGGGGAGTTGTAGGGTTTAAAGCTGTGAGGGCTTATCGTCTAGGGTTTAGGGTTTAAAGCTGTGAGGGCTTAGGGTCTAAGGTTTAGGGCTTAAAGCTGTGAGGGCTTAGGGTTTAAAGCTGTGCGGGCTTAGGGTCTAGGGTTTCGGGTTAAAACTGTGAGGGCTTAGGGTCCAGGGTTTAGGGATTGAAGCTGTGAGGGCTTAGGGTCTAGGGTTTAGGGTTTAAAGCTGTGATGGCTTAGGGTCTAGGGTTCAGGGTTTAAAGCTGTGAGGGATTAGACCTCAACCCTCAACCCTAAAGCCTAAAACCTAAACTCCCTAACCCAAAACCCTAAACCCTGGACCCTCAACTCCCTCAGCCGTAAACTGAAACCCTGGACCCTAAACTAAACCCTAAACCCTGTTCCCTAAACCCTGAGCCCCAAACTCCCTCAACCCTAAACCCTGACCCCTAAACCCTAAACGCCCTCAAACCTAAACCCTAAACCCTAAACTCCCTCAACCCTAAACTCCCTCAAACCTAAACACTAACCCTAAACTCCCTCAACCCTAAACTCCCTCAACCCTAAACCCTAAACTAAACCCTAAACCCTGCACCCTAAACCCTACTGAACCCTAAACCCTAAACCCCAAACCCTAATTAAAAACTAAACCCCAAACTCCCTAAACCCTAAATCCTGAACTAAACCCTAAACCCCCTGAGCCCTAAACCCTAAAAACCTAAACTCTAAACTAAACCCTAAGCTCCCTAAACCCTAAACTAAACCCAAAACTCCCTAAACCCTAAAGTAAGCCCTATAAACCCTGCACCCTAAACCATATAAACTAAACCCTAAACCTGAACCCAATACCCTATAGACCACCCTAAACCCTAAACCCTAAACCCTAAACCCTAAACAAGAAACCCTAAACCCTAAACCCTAAACCCTAAACCCTAAACCCTAAACCCTAAACCCTAAACCCTAAACCCTAAACTCAATCAACCCTAAACTTAATCAACCCTAAACCCTAAAACCCGAAGCCGAACACCCCCTCCTGAGCCCAAGCCTGGTCCGTGGCCTCTTTCCAGGATCGGGCCGTCCTGGTCGGGCCCAGCGCCCTCTGTTCATCCCTCAGCCCCCAAGCCTACAGCTGGGTTTAGGGTTTAGGGTTTAGGGTTTAGGGTTTAGGGGTTAGGGTTTAGAGTTTAGAGTTTAGGGTTTAGAGTCTAGGGGTTTCGGGGTTTTAGGGTTTTTTGGCTTATGGGGTTTAGGGTTCTGGGCTTTACGGTAATGGGGGTTTGGGTTAGGGCTTGGGGTTGTGAGGGTTCTGTGCCGGCGGTGCCGACCCGTTGTCAGTGTTGGTAGCATAGCTGCAATGCCGAAGTGGTCCGAACATTGTCCGGCTCAGAACCAAGAGCTTGGCTCGATTCTGGCATCTGGCAAGTAATCCTTGTCGGTCGCGCCGAAAACATCAAGCCTCAACCCTTCCTGTACGGGAGAGGCCAGGGCTCAACTTGACGGCCACGCCTCCGCCATTGGCGTTCAACAGCCCCATGGGGCCTGTGAGGTTCGAAGAGACTCCGCGCTGATAGCCAGTGCCGCATCAACAAGCAGACACTCATCGGCAGTAAGAGTACTGAAGTTCGTGCCGGCCATTGCACCTCCACGCAGGAAGATATTGCGGCCGCCGGCATCGACGGCGACGGAGCCTAGCTGGTCGTGGTCGGCATCACAGCCGGTTCCGTCAGGGTGCCTCGAATTCAATGATATCACCGAATTCGGTTTACGGCCTAGGGCTTCTAAGCATAACTCAATCTAGGACCGCTGCTTGCAAGAAAATAGCAGTTCAGGCGGGGGGTGGGGGGGTTGGCGAAAGAAAGGCTTCGGGTTAGGACCAGGGTGAGTGCCTGACCTTAAAGAATGTATCCTAACGTAGCTCAGGGTTTAGGGCTTGTAAGCAGTAGGGGCTTACAACTCAGCGAAGGTAACACTACTTGTAAGAAAATGTGGATTTAGGGTGTAGGATGCCTGTAATGAACAGTTACATCCTAGCGGGGCTGTAAGGTGTATAGGGTTGTAATAA